TGAGGAAGTGGGGTAGCAACTTAGAAACCCCGAGACAGATTCAGTTTCGTTGTGGAGAAAGTAGAACACAATACAGTCTAGAAAACACAATTCGGGTAGTTCTCTGGCCCATCCTGCACGTGGACGATGGAAAAATTGCATGAAGGGGCAGCTAAAGACCTTTCAAGTTGGATGGTCATTCATTCAACTCCCCTCTTCCTCACCTTCCTCAGTGGCACCCCAAGAAGCCCACTTCCCCAGAGGCACCCCGCCGATGACACAGAGAGGTAGAGAGTCGCCTCTCCAACCCTCCCTGCTTGTCCGCTTCTTGAATTTCCCACCTGCTTCCCGTGTCGGCCTCGCCGCAGGACCTGGCCGAGATGGGTGGGGCCGAGTTCCTGCTGCCCGTCTGCCTCCAGCCCCAGCGAGCTGGCCTTGCTGACTTCACTGAGTCGTCGTCCTAATGCTTTCCTTTCGGTTCCAGGGAACGACCATTTACCATTTTCAAAGGTCACGTTCCTGGAACTATGGAGGGGAACTTACAGAGCAGCCTCAGGCTAATTCGAGTTACATGACTCTAACTTTATTTATTTTTTATTTTTATTTTTTAAATCGAGTAGAGAACGCATCCTCATTCTTTTTAAAAAATATATAAATTTTATTGATTTTTTTACAGAGAGGAAGGGAGAGGCATAGAGAGTTAGAAACATCCATGAGAGAGAAACATGGATCAGCTGCCTCCTGCACGCCCCCTACTGGGGATGTGCCCGCAACCAAGGTACATGCCCTTGACCGGAATCGAACCTGAGACCCTTCAGTCTGCAGGCTGACGCTCTATCCACTGAGCCAAACCGGTCAGGGCAATGACTCTAACTTTAATGAAAACCTTGCCAAAGCCGTTTCCTTTGTCTCAGTTCTACCTGGGGACTCTGGTCTCCCTTCTTCCTTATACTTTTTGTGAGTCCTTCCTTTTTCAGTTCCCTTCTGTGACTTATGTTTCTTCCAGCAATTCTTGTTTGTTGTTGTTAATCCTCACCCGAGGATATTTTTCCCTGGATTTTTAGAGCGAGGGGAAGGGAGGTGGAGAGGCAGAGAGAGAGAAACATCGATGTGAGAGAGGCACATCAATTGGTTGCCTTCCGTAGGCGCTCTGACAAGGGCTGGGGATTTAGCCTGCAGCCGAGGTCCTCGCCCTTGACCGGAATCGAACCCGAGACCCTTTAGTCTGAGAGCCTATGCTCTAACCACTGAGAAACCCAGCTAGGGTTCTTCCGGCAATTCTTCAATTATCTTGACTTTTTAATTGTTTTTTTACTGTCCTATTCAACTTCATTCATTCATTTAGGCTTGACTGTGTAATGGGCATTAAGCTAGGCACTAGGTTTGCAAATGGGGTGGGAGACATAGATCGGATAATGAGAGTGTTCTAAGTACTTTGAGAGAGGCGTGTTGGAAAGGTTATGTAAGTAAACATTCATTCGGCAAATACGTATTGACCTCCTACTGTGTGCCAGGCACTGTGCGATGGAGGTATAGTGTTCTCGCCGTACAGCGCTGACTGTTAAAGCTGAGGAGCGTCGAGTCGCGAAGGAGCCAAGGATGGTTTGGGGCTGGGTTACCTGCTCTGCCAGGAGGCATTTGGTGGGGACTCTGAGGTAGTAAGTGGTGAGAGAAAAAGGCTAGAAAGGTTGTGAAAGTCCTCCTGTCTTTTAAGGGAGTTTTGTCCTGTTTCTGAGAACAGAGTGTTTATTAGTCCTGTGATGACCCTTACCGACACTCCCATGCTACCCGCCTCTCTCGTTTCTGTGCTCATTCTTCTGCTGGCTGTAGTGACCAGTGGCTCTAGGTGGCGGTGACCACTAGCACTGCTGAGCATGCGTTTGTAAAAAGTGGGAGGGGGGTGGCCAGTACAGACGGAACCCCAAAGCCAGGAGGCCGGTATGGGGTGCCCTTACTTTGCCTGGAGTATTGCCCTCTAGGATGTAATTAGCCTCTTGAAGTCTGGTTTTTACTGTTTGTAAGGTAGGGGAGGAAGAAGTTAAAGTACAAACACATGACTTTGAAAGTACCCTGTGGGGGTAAGATTTCCATTTATTGCCCACCCTGAAATTTTTTATTCTTTTCCTTTAGGTTTCTTGCTATTTAAAGATTTTTGTTTGAATGAAATTAATGAAGCTGTACCTCAGGTGAAGTTTTATGAAGAGGTAAGAAGTAACTGTTTTCCTGCTGCTTTTACTTCAAAAGCACATTTAAACTGTACTTTGGAAAATATTTAAGACGACTCGAATATCTCGCAGATATTTAGAAACCCACGGGACTCACTTAGTAATACAGGATAAGCTACGCGGTGTATTCTCGATGCTGACATCTACACGAATCCGATTTGCAAAGGCCCCCGGGGTGCTGCGGAAGTAGGGAGGGGTAAGGGGGCTAAAACCCCAGAGCAGGGCGGCTCCTTCCGAGGTGCCCCAAAGATTCCCGGCCGTTTCATTTTCCGCAGAAGCTTGCGGATTCTGGAGACACAAGCTGATGCCGAGGGCTGGCCACCACTGGGTGAAAGAGAATCTGGCGGTTTTCTGGTCACACATCGCTGGAGTGACACGTGGGAGACTTGGTGGAGGAGGGTGGAGGCTGAAAGCTGTGGGAGACACCGTATTGAAATGAAGCCCTGCTGTGGGCAACAATCTGAACCAGACCGGCAGAAACACAAGCCCCAGGGGATGCTCTGTGACACTGAAGAGCTGGAGCTAC